AACTGAGGTGTAAGGCTTCTTCACAGGTACAAAACTAAGCCAGAACACACTAAAATGCTGCAGACCAGAAATACATTAAGCAATATTTGCAAAGGCGTGAAGGGCCAGTGAAGTCATCTGAGATCTGAGCACAGCCAGTACACATCATTTGGAAAAGGTATCAAATTATTCTCTTTTTTCTTTTTTTTTCTTTTTTTCCCCTTTTTCTGCTAACCCATCCCAGTTGAATATAATGGATTCATTTTGTTACAACTGCTGCAAAGTTGGCCTGAAGACTCATGTGAGGTCATTCGCTGAGCCATACCCTACCTTTAATGTGTATGTGAGAGAGATTATTCTTTTTCCCCACCCCAGCTACCCCCAGAAAGAGAGTCCAGCTGTTGGCTTCTTTTATAGCAAGGGATCAGTACATATTGCTTTACATTTTCAATGCTGGTCATGCAAGTAAAAAGGCAGCTTAAAGACTTTGTAAGTTAAAGCTGAAATTCTCCAAAGCCTCCACAGATCATGGGGCTTATGGCTTTCATTGAGTCATAGCTTGTAGACTTTAAAGGCCAGAAAGGAGCATTAGATCATAGGTGTAACCTGTACATTGCAGTTCATTAAACTTCAGTCAGTTACTCCTGTGCTGAGCTCAGTAACTTCTGTTTGCCTAAAGCGTATCTTCTATAAAGGCATACAGCCTTGATCTGAAGACATCAAAAGAGGAAGAAACCACTGCTTCCCTCAGTATTCTGTTCCTGTGGTTAATCAAACTCCTAGTTATAAATGCATGCATTATTCTAATTTGAGCTTTTGTGGTTTCAGTTCACAGACATTGGTCCTTGATATGTTTTTTCTTCTAAAACAGTCCTTTAGTTCCCAGTATTTTCTTCCCTTGGAAGTATGCACACACAGTAATCAAGTCACCTCCCAATCTTCTTTTTGATAAACCAAACAGATGGTGTTCTTTCATCTCTCATTATAAGCCTTTCCAGTCCGTCAATCATTTTTGTGGCTCTCTTCTGTACTTTCTCCGATTTGCCATTTTTTTTAAAGTGGACAGCAGAATTATACAGAAAAATCCAGTGTCCATTTCACTAATACTGTATAAAGAATACAATTATTCATCCTTGCTATTCCTGTTCACTATTCCCCCACTTTTATGCACAAGGATTTTCCATTACCCCTTTTTGCCACAGCTTCACAACAGGAGCTCACACCGAGCTGTTTGTCCTTTATGACCTTTAGATGCTTCTCAGAGTTGCCGCCTTCCAGTTTCTTGCCCCAAAAGCTTTCCTTACCATAACTTGCTGTAGCGCCACATTGGACTTACTTATCTAAAGAGTGGTGACACAACAGCTAGTTCACCAACATCCATTTTCCCAATTTTTATTACATTTAATATTGCTATGAAGTCCCAGCTTCAGGAATCGTGATTATTCAAGAATTTTCACTGTCTCTTAAAAAAACAGCATATCTACCCTCTACGTTTGAAGATGTGCCTTGTACCTGAAACTTTAGGAAGCCCAGGGCAAACTTAAAAAATTTTAAAAATTATAATTTAAGAAGGCTTATGCCTTTTAACTAACATATCATTTTTTGACTACCAGACTGAGATATCTGAAGAAAAACAATGTGACAGTGAGCATTATATAAATAAATCCTCACTATGTCTGATTTGATGCAGTGAGCAATAATTTGCATTTCCCTGAGAAATAAAACTTATGCAAATAAGATTTCGAAAGCTCAACAGCTACAAGGCTTCCACCTTTCTCATGTTGTTTGGTCTTTTCAGAAAAGCTTCTGTGGAACTGACGAAGCACTGGAAATACAAGGGAAGGTTTGAAAAGAATAATGAAGGAAAATGAGGAAGATTAAAAGCAAATGAAGAAATAACTAAAGGGACAGCATCAAAATTTACAGACTGTAAAACTGGAGGTCAAAAATAATCTGTACTCTGGGTTATTCAATACCAATAACAGAATACCACAAAGTATAGATAAAAATGTTCACATTTGTGATTTTATTGCGGTCATAACAGATCTCATCCAGCTACAACTGCTGAAATAGCAACTGAACTAAAAATGTATATACATATCTGAGAATTAGCTGAAGAACACCTCTTGAGCAAGTGAAGTTACATGAGCCAAGCTGTAAATTTGTGTTATGAATGTCTGTGTCTACAGTGCAATATTGATTTTATTCCTGAGTAATACCACAGATCGGAGAGATCTATAATGTAATAAAGTTATAAAAGGAAAGTTTTTATTCGACCCAGTGACTTGATGATTCAGACGTGTTTTAAAAGATTAAAAGAGAGAAAATCAAACTGAAATGACAAAAAATGCTCTTTAAAAAGTCTGTTTTCCTTTTTATTAGAAAATAAAGCTGCTTTCACTCAACTTCCCTCTGTCTTATTTGTAGAACTCCATGTTTTATTTAAATATTCAAAATATCTACTAAGATACAGACAGAAGTTACTTCATTCCTGTCATCTATTAAATACGTTTCAGGGCTTCACTGAAGAAAAATAGGAGACCTGCTTTGATTTCCGTGGGCCAGGTAGTTTCAGGTTATACCTCAAGATATATATGTATAAAATGTATACACTGCAGAAAAGGGAACTACTGGCACAGGGAAGACAAATATAAATAAATATTTGATCACTCTGTTCATTTCAAAAAGATTTAGCTATGGATTCTGGATATTTTAAGACACCCGCTCTATGCATTGTACGGGAAAGAGACACGCAGAAGTAAGGTTTGCATAAAATAATCCCTACACAAACCAAAACACAGCTGAACTCCTTTATTTATCTTCTCCAAGTCTAGGAATCCAAATAAGATGCTGTTGATTTGAGGTTTTTATCAATCATCTCCTCTGCCACACAAAATTTTACACAAAACAAAACATATGTAAATGGATCACATTTCAAGGTAAATTTTCCCTTCCCTTCGCACTATTGAGAAACCACAGCTTGATGCTAATAACAAACAGCATCTGTGTAGAATGAGGTAAAAAGAAAGCTACAGAGAACGAGGCATATATCTGGGGCTAATTATACCATCATCAGAATTCCAGACTGAAACCATTGCAAGTAAACTGAAATTAACAGTTTCAATTGTGTGTAAAGTCTTTTCAAACACAACCAGAACAGAATTACACTTCACATGTGGTGAGGAGAATTTGTTAAGGAAATCAAGAATTTGACCGTAAGTAGCTAAAATGAGGGAGACCTGATTGTTTCAGGAAACAAATGCTAACAGGCAAGATAAGCATCCAGAGACATCCAAATGTAAGCAAGAAACAGGCAGTACCTAGTTCTGAGCAAAAAAACCAAAACTTCTGGAACTGCAGTACTAGTGTGCTGTCTCACTGCTTCTAGTAAACCAGAGTCATGATACTAAACAGAGAACAGGAAGAGCTGTGGGCTTATTTGCATTTGACATAGAAATTAATTCCAATCAGTTGCCCATGACTTTAAATTTGTAAAAAATCTCCAACTGACAAATTTAAAAAAAAAATATTGTAACAAAAACAGGAGGCTATTGCTATTGTCAAGACAGTGGGTATAAAAATATTTTACCACCAATTCTGGATACCAGCAGAACTGCATGAAAAGTCATGGATTTATACCAGAGGTATCCCCTCTGTTTATCAGTAAGGTAGGAAAAAGGAAAAAAATGTTTTTAAAAAGTCAACATTTAAAAAAAAAAATCCCTGACAGAGGAATGAGCAAACTATGAAAAGTCAAGTAACAACTAGAATCAGAATAGTCTAAGAAAAATAAGAGTTTGTTTTTCAAGACACCAAGGGGTGCACAAGACAACCTTTTTGGGGAGGAAGAAGAGAGAAGGAGGCTAAAATAATTCTTCCATTTACACCACTCAAGAGCAGTACATATGCTTCCAGGCACATTAAACTTCTCTGCAGGCACCAGAACTGCAAAAAAAATGCCTGATCCTAAACAGAATTGTAGCGTGAACCCAAAGCTCCTCATGCTTTTAGGAGCTGTGCCTTAAGAAGGCCAGTAAAAACTAGCCGGACATGAGCTCCAACTGATTAAGCAATTACAAAATATATGTGAAAGCACATTGCACATGATGGAGTCAGATTATTTCTGATATCTTAAAGTTCAAAGAATTGCCCGCAAGGAAACAGAAGCTACTGAAGAAGATAGTACAAAGATGAGCATATCTTTGTTAGTTATATAGTAGTTACAACACTGAAGTAACAACTTAATACACAAAGGGTTCTGTTAATATTTATGTGTGGTGGCTGAGCACAGCCAGGGTGGACAGTCTGATCCAGGCGTTCACATAATCAATAAGAGTTCTGCTGTCTTCCCTGACACTCCATCCAGCTTAGCATCATGCTGTATGGGTACACGTGGGTGAATCATCTGCAGCACCTGAACGGGATGTGTGGAGAGGCTTGGTGAATCAGTGATCCAGTATCAAGGCAAGAGGACATTATTCTCCTGGAGAGATCACTTTTTTTATGAGAGTTTCTAAACATAGGTCATTTACAAAACCCATTTTTGCTCTTCCTACAGTGGAGGGTACTAGGTCTGGCTTTTTGTCCAAGCTTCAAATTTAACAGTTGTTTTTGAAACATTAAAAGTGTCCTCCTATTTCCCAACTGTCTGATGTATTATTCTTTTTTTTTCCGCTAAGACCACATAGCTGCAGCTGTGCACAGCTAGACCATTGCTACATTCCTGCAACCTCAGCAGTGATGACAAAATAAAAGAGACGAAATGGCCACTGGGCAAAATCTAAAAAGCTCTTTAAAACTGCATGGACTCCATGGCATGAAAAGCATTATTTAATCTAGGATACCTTATTCCCTTTACTACAACAAACCAAAATCCTGGGTCACAGTTTCAAGTTCATGCTCCTCCTCCGTTTGCGTACATAGCTTCATATCAGATAAATATGAACTTGGCACATTTCAGCCTAGAGGTGTTACTTTTTTTAGTTTTTCAGTGGTAGTTTGATCACAGATCACACAAGTACCTTGTAAGAGGTGAGGATGAAGAGGCTGGTGAGCAGTAAGAACAGCTGTCATCTCATCGTGGTCGGAAGGATGTATGTACTCATAAATGCTATTACCAGTAAGCTCCACCTGTGAAGAGACATGTAACGCATGAAGCAGTGCAGCTGACTTTTTTTTTTTTCCTATCCCAAAAGCGCTCTTAAGTAACCTGCATTCACTGCATCTGGGTAACTACACACCATTTTTAAAACATAAGTTGAATGTATCCAAAGCGTGTTCCAAATTATTCCCATTAAACTGAATTAATTCCTTCTTCAGCAGTAACTAATATTATAGGTGCTTTTGTGGGAACTTCTGGTGATGATCTGCATACAGAAGAGCTGCTATTAGAGAGAGCTGGCAAAAGAAGTGATAAACTAGAGCAGCTGTAGAAATGTTAGATTGCCACAAAATGGGATAAAATCTCTGTGAACTGTATTAATGTCTCTCAAGAAGACAGATATCGGAAAAAAATATGTTTCTACAGGTTCCCAGAAACTATCACCTGCATTCAGCTGGCAGCTGAGCCTTCAGAGCCAAACCACTAGACTTACACAATTCCTTTGTGTCTTTTCAAAGACAATCCACCACACTCAATCCACAGTAGCGCAAAGGGCTCAGAACAGTAGCCGGTGAATTCAAAAGGCAGACTTCCATAGATTTTCATGGGCACTGGATTGAGCCTTCGCTGCTTTAAGTAAACATGCACAGTAAAGACTAGATCTATCTTAAATATCTGTGTATTCCCTCTTCTCACTTGAACTTTGCTCGCACAACAATGTATTTCTGTCTTTCCCACTGTTGTAGCCATAATAACTGTTGCGCAAAAAAAATAAATGGCGTGCACCGTATGTCCTTTTTGCTAACTCTATTTGCCATGTATAAAACTCACTAACAAAAGTCTCCAGATAGATGCAGTAATTGATTTAAGGAGTGAACCAATACTTTGAGCCTGTGTTTTAAATTAGTGTCAGGCTGCCCAATTGTTCAGTGTGGCCTGATGTGCCTTGGGCCCCTAAGATCAGAGACAGCTGAGAGGTGAAGTAATTTAACCTATTATTCTGAGCCAATCCTACTGGTTTGCTAAGATGTGTGAGTTGCCTTTTCTTTGGAATAAATGAAGTTGTCTACCCCACAAAGCAATCTTTTTCTGAAAATGTTTCTCATCATTCCATTTTCTGCATTATTCATGGAATGCCTCTTCCCAAGACTATGCAAACTAACTTTTTCTAGCCATCTATTCCCTACTGCTTCTTTCAAACAAGCCCTCCCTGCAAAAACAAAAACACCAACACTGATTTGATATTTTAACCAGAATAAAATTTCACTGAATAAGGGAAAAAAGAGAGAAAGAAAGAAAGAGAAAAAAGGAAAGGAGGGGAAGGGAGAAAGAAAGAAAGAAAGAGAGAAAGAAAGGCAGAGAGTAAGAGGAGGTGAAAGAGCAAGAGAGGAAGAAAAGAAAGGAAGAGAGAGAGGACAAGGTGGGGGGGAGGGAAAGGAAAGGTTATCTATGTTGCTTCATTTATATAAATTTCTCTAAAAGTTCTCCTTAAAAAGCACTGGCTGTTCCTTTTCAGGATTGTAACAGGTGGGGACCTGTTATAGTAACACCCCATATTCAAGCTGGAGTGGCGGGGGAGGAAGGAGAATATACAATCTCACTGTGAGTCATGCTTCTCAATGCTTCTGTTTGTTTTCAATTACATGGGGAAAAACATATTGTAAATGTCCATAGCTATCTCTGTAAATATCATAACCACCTACAGACACATAAAATGGATTTTTTTTTAAATCTAATAATTCTTACGGTGATGGGCGTTTCATTGGTCTATATGCTTAGTAAACCAGAACATGAAAAAATTAACATTGCAAAAATGCACAGCTGTGGTCAGTGTTCAAACCAAAAGGTAAGTATCACTTACGACCCTGTTCTTATTATTTTATCTTTGGCTAATAGTGATTTTACTGAAGAGTATGTTTTGCCTTTGAAATTAAAACAACTGTATCAGAGAATACAGCTTCCAAAAAAAAACCATTCATGGGTGGCTATGTGCAAACAATCTTTCCCTTCAATATAAAGACTTTCTTACAAAAACAACACCAACCAACCTGACTAGCAACATCAACTGTAGTAATCCAAAAGATCTTGTTGCATCTCTGCTATTACTGAGTATAATCATAACCACAACAACACGCACCTACTCTCTTACAAAGTATAACTCACGGCTATCTCTTGCTTTTCCAAAAGTCACTACCCATTTCAAAAGGACTACCCACGGAAATACACGTTTGTTCACACGATTCACAGGACTGGACCCAAGGTCACAGTTTTATCCGAACTGTAATTTGTATCCCAGGGCTTATATCTAAAATTCAAAACTAAAGTGCTTTGTCAAACTAATGACTAGTTTTTCTCGTTGTACACATAGGAATATTTTCTACTCTGATGTATGCATTTGCAACCCCAGCAAAATCAGCGGGAGGTGAACATACAACACTGAAACCAAAATTGACTGTAAAAATGCAAGTGGAAACATAAAGCCGTCAGCAAAGAGATGGGGGCTATGTAAGAGTCAAATAACCAAAATACATATACATAACTTTGAAACTGACCACAGTCTCCTGCTATGCATAGTGCATGCATGCTATTTTAAAGCCTACAATGAAACACTGAAAACTTAAAAAAATAAATTATATGGTTCAATTCATAAACCTTCTAAAATCCCATGCCTCAGGTTATTAAACCAGCTTCCTCGATACAGCTTTTTAATATCTGTAAATACCTGCTTACTACCAAATATCGCTGCTTCCTACTAAGAGGGTTTTTATGTGTAACTCAGCTGCACATTTTTTTCCTGCCAAGAAACAATTCATAATAAACACAGAGGACTAAGTAGGTGGATTCTAGAGCAAATAATTACATATTTTGCCCTTCATATACTTATTTGATGAAAGTAAAATAAACTCTTGGAAAAGTTCAGATGTTTGTGGTTAAATATTTCAAGACTTATCAAAAGTCAAAGATAAACTTGGGTCCCTCATGGACCCAGAAAATGGCTGGAATAAGCTCCAGACTTTCAAAATTAAAAAAAAAAAACCCAACCTTTCACCATTGTTTCCTAAGAGGATTTTCCTCTCCATTCTGTGTCTTTGGACTCTAAGGGGAAAAAACATTTGGGGAATTTGAACCTATTCGTTATCCATGGAAAAAAAGAGGCAAGGAATTGGCTCTGTCAGCTAGTACAAGTCAGTTCAACACTGGTCTGAGGCCAGTTGAAATTAGACAGAGGAGGGGGTCCTACCCATCAGTATTTACAATATTTACTGTTACAGTTGAGAGCAAAGGCAGATCAAAATCCAAAGGCACAAATTAAGTGACAGGTCCAAAAATGAAGATGTAGCCTTTTCAGAAATATTGCTTCTGCTTCTCTGATGCTGCAGACAGAAGTGAGTGAAGTAGTGCTGAAAAACAATCCTTAATGTTGTTTTTAAATTTTAAACTAGCTTAACTACACCAGCCAGTGAAGGGTTATTCAGAAGCTCTAATTTCTTTCTGCTGAAGTTAAATTCAAGATCAACTAGAAGATAAAGGCTACTGTAGTAGGTCTCCCAGAATATCCTGCAAAATATTTTTAAATGGACTTTTTATTTAGTTTAAATATATATTTTTAAACAAATTGCACTTTAACTGGAAATTGATGTGTGGACTAGTTAATTGTCAAATTATTTAATAAAAAGGCCTTTCTATGCACACTCTAAAAGATTTTCTACAATCATCATCACTCTGGTCTCAGCTTGTATTGGCTGGAGCTCTATAAGAGCACTTGTTGAAAATATAGTGTGGGATTATGACTTGGTGAGGGAGACTTGCAGAATTTGCTTCTACAGACCAATCTCATTCTTGTTGATGTCAGTGGCAAAACTCCCAGTGATTTCCAGAGAAGGAGGAACAAGAACTCATTTAGAGCCCTGGGAAGCCTTCAGGAATATCCTAGTGTTAATGTATTAATATCCTAGTACATAGGAGTAGCCTAGTATTAATGCTAGTACTACTTAAAGCAAAATTGTCCCTTCAAAAATAGAACATTGAGAAATAGCAAGAACAGATTAGATGATAAAACAGCATGAGGAAAAAGGGGAAAAAATCACTGCCCCTTGTTTAGCTGGGTTTTTGTATTTATAAATAATAAACTGTGTGCTGTGAAACTGCTGGAGCACTCAGCGTTTTGAGAGTCTAAAACATGCCCTTAAATTTCACATCCCTCTGTCCTCTCCGATCTATAGCTTTCTGGGGAGTTCAAGGGTACAGTCCATTCATTTACAAATCACTGCTCAAGGGAAATATTTGTGGTTTTGCTTATTAAATTGACTTCAATAAGCAATATGACCAAATCCTCTAGCTTTCCTCGGCATCTCTTGCGCTAAGGGTTTATAGATATTTACATGTGCAATGCACATGGAATTCAGTCTGTGCTGGGGGCCGTAAGGGCACGAGGGCTAAATATGACTAAAGCCTGTATAACACTTTCAGTCCCCTCTCCTTGAATGTGGCCAAGACTATTTAGTGCCCTACTGATCCCGTAGTTCTTTAATTTCACCAGATGACTGGATAATACTGAGACCTACGAGATCTGATGACTTGATATTCCTCAGAAAGAAAGAAAAGAAAGAAACAATTTCTGGACAAAACCTGGAAGATCAGTTAGCACTTACCAAACAGCAAGCAGCACGGGACAATGAGACTCTACTTCAGCAGGGAGAGATGGGAACACTCAGTGCTTTGGAATAATTGTACTGACTAAATTAATCTATTTAAGCATCAGCAGCGTGGTGGATTTTTTCAAAAGTCAGGGCGAGAAAAACTGTTAATAATGCTGTTGATTCAGAGTAGAAAATATGGCCATTCTCTAGGAAAGTTTATTCTAAAATAAAGCAATATTTAAAGTAATTTGAACATGCACTAAATGTTATGAAACAACTAATACTATACTGTAACAGACTCAATTGAACAAACTGCTTGAACTAAGAATGTTCCCTGGACACATTTTTAGAATTTGGCAGAAAATAAGTATCCACACAGAATATTGATTCTCAAAATTACTTTTTCTAAAACAGATTACAAAAACAGGGATTGTAGTTGCCTTTGGATTTAGAAGTGGTGTTTATGAGATGATATACTTCTTTTTCTAGCTATTTAGAGTTCTATTTTTTCTCACAGCTACTAATTCGAATATCACTATTACAAACACACATCCAAAGAACTTCACAGTTTTTCAATCGAAAATATTAGTTACTACCAAAGTTAAAAGTACACATATAATCCCCACAACTCAGCCCCTTCTCTGTTTATTGGAATAGCCACAGGGCATATTCCCCAGACATTTTCAGAACATCCTATGCTCTCTCACCTTCATCCCTTCATTTTAATTCCTTCTGCTAGTAAGTCTTTATTTCACTTTATTTAATTCTGAGAAGTATTTCAGCTGCAACTGGTTCTGAAGAAACAGCTCTATTTCTTGCAAGTGTCATCCAGGGCCCAGTGAAATTACTTAGGAGTTTTTCTATTGGACTTCAGCAAGCTTTAGGTCAGGTGCTACCAATGAATTTGTGTAATACATTTACACACAAAGGTATGGAAACTTGCACTCTGCAATAAATTCAGGCTATTTGCCCTTGTGCCTATCCCAAGAAGGCAAAAAATTAGAAATGTCCTTCTAAGAAAAAACAATAAAAAAACCCTTACACTTCTTGTGCAGAACAGTAGTAAACTGAGTTTTATGAGTTCTATCACAACCATATAAAACGCTTTACTGAAAAGACCACTGAGCTGGAAAAACTCAGGAAAAACTACCCTGAATTCCATGTGAACACTCATAAATCTGCCCCCCTTTTCTTTTTTTCCTAAAGCACATTTACCATAAAACTCATGTTCCACATCAGATTTCCTCTCTATTTCATAGCAAGTCTCAATATCTTACACAATCTAAAACATATAGACTTGAATTCTAAACTTTATTTCAGACGTATAGCGTTACCACACAGGCAATAGGTTTGGGTTTCAAGCTCTATATGTATCTGCAATTTGCAATATCATATTATTTATTACCCTTCTTAAAGGTAACGAGGAGTAAAATACAATGAACAAGAAAAGATATAAAGACAGTCATGATGTGGTTGTAAGCAAAGGAAACTTGAATATTTAAGTAAGGCCATTTGTCAGAGAACAAAGTCGAAGCTTCAAATACCCCTAAAAACCAAGATACCAGTGTTAGGTTCCAAATCCAGTACCTGTATTTAACAGATAGACAGAATAAATCACTCATACCTGAGATAAGCCAAGATGTACAGATGCTGTTTCTGAGATGTACATTATTTTGCCATCTGATGCTACCACGAAGACAAAGCCATCCAAAGTCTGAAAAAGAGAAGTACATAGGGTAAAAAGCAAGCACTCTGTTTAAACCATTTACAGTGAAAAAGATTTTGGAGAAAGATTGCTATCCAACTTCAACAGCAGCAAATAGCAAAATTTAAGGAACGGAAGCCTTCATCCGATGCTGTTCCTACAAACTCCATGACACACACACACATTGTGAAATCCAATTCATTCCCCCTACAGATGCTAGCTTTACTGCTTCACTTTAAGTTAACATTCTCCTGTTGATTCTGGTTATTTTAGTACTTAGTACAAATCCTGAGCTATGTGGTACTTAGGGGAAAGTCTAGTACTACGCAAGCCATTTTTTATGGTATAATTGGCAGACACAGCTTACCGGTATTTGCAATATACTTAATGATACCGTAAGCAATGCTTTAAATTTCTTTGACTATATTTTTAATAATGTCTTTCTGAACAGAGGGCTGTCTGCCATGTAACTATGCAAACGTAGGAAAAGAAAGTAAAATAAACCAGCATTCTAAACTTTATCACACTTGAAGAGACATACTTATGCTCATTAAGCTATATCCCTACAGTTTGTGAATCTTGACTAATGGTAATATGCAATGCAAACCTGAGGTCCAATCCTACGAATTCTTATTGACGGGATATTGACTGGAAGGTAAATATTACTTGTGCGAGTAAAAACTGAAGTTTAATTTAGTCATATATCATTTGTATGAGAAAAAATAATATGATGCAAATGGGACAGGTTAGCCAAAACTGGCCACTATTTGGACATATGAACTATCAGCTTCAGGGTACCTTGATTCTTCAGTGCCCAATTTGAGGCATTTTTTCAAAAGTATCTGATATTCTCAGTGAAAAACTATCCATTATCTCTAACCAGTTTAGGAAGCCTTGATCAACACATACATATGAACATCATTGGAAAATATATGTGGAATAGAAAAAAAATGTTTACAGTACACAGATAAAACAAACGCCTATTTTAATTCATCTTTTAAGTTAGTGAACCAGGAGAGAAGCAATAAAATCCTGTATGCTTCATGTTCTTACAGTGCTGCCTCAATAAGAAAATATTCCAAATTATTCTCTGGCCTACTAACGATTCTACAGCATGTAATTGAAACCAGATTACTCTTTGCTTTTAGTTTTTTTCTTTTTTGGAACATAAATTAAATGTTGTGGAGGTATTAAAATGGGAAATAAATTACTGCATCCTTAGCCATAACTTTGCTTTTAAACACTGTCATCTTGCAATTGCTCTGCCCAGTATCATAAATAAAACCATGCCAATGCTTCCATTACCGCATTATATGGTGCAGTAGGTCTCTAACTTTCCTACACAGAAAAGCATACTGAAGCTGAAACTTCACACGCAAGGTATAAGAACCCTTAAAAAAGTTTACAGCAAATATGGGTTTATTAAAATCTGAAGCATTCATAATTCAGAAATAACTGAACTGTAAAATGAGTATTACGGGCGATTAGCATATAACGTTACTGAAGTTCATTTAATGCCAGACAAAATGTGAAATAGCTAACGTGGAGGAGGAGCAAGTGTAACAACGATTTCTATGCTATAACTAGGTATGTATTTTCTGGGTAGACCAGTGATTCTGAAACAGCTGATAGGACGTCGACTACTTAAACCGAACTTTCAAGGCTAGAAATACCTCCGCATGAGATAATTTTGACCTTCACCAGTTTCCATATTCTGTAGGCGCTGAGTCACGCGTGCTTCAAACCCCTCTCCCGAAAGCGCGCGCTCTGTTTACTTCAGGAGAACGGGCGGCATTTTGCAGGGCTGCAGTAACAAATAACTAACTGTGCGCGGCATTTCAAACGTCGGACGACCTCGCACAGCTTCCCCAGCTAGCCC